TTTTGCTAAAATCGTCTAGGAAATTACCATATTTAGTTCGTTTTTGAACCAAAGACACATTTATTATCACCAAAGACTCATATATTATCAAAAAAAGCCTAAAAACCACAAAAACAAAATCGAAATTAGTCGAAAATAGTGTTATTTTAACTTTTTTCAAAATTGAAAGCATGTTTTTCAAATAAAATTTTAATAATAATAATAATAATAATCCTCACAACGTCGAAAATTATATATTGTTTGTCTTTTTCGAGTGTTTTTGAACATTTTTCAGCTGTAAATGCAGTTATTCGCAAACTTTTGTCAAAAATAATGTAGAAATTTACCAAAAATAAAGCATTTTCGGCTTTTTTGACACTTTTTCAAATTTTTTCTAAAAATTTTGCTCAAATCGTCTAGGAAATTACCATATTTAGTTCGTTTTTGAACCAAAGACTCATTTATTATCACCAAAGACTCATATACTATCAAAAAACCACAAAAACAAAATCGAAATTAATCGAAAATAGTGTTATTTTAACTTTTTTCAAAATTGAAAGCATGTTTTTCAAATAAAATTTTTAATAATAATAATTATTTTAGTTTTTTTGCAAGATTTCTCTAAAATAAAGCAAAAAAATCCTCACAACGTCGAAAATTATATATTGTTTGTCTTTTTCGAGTGTTTTAGCATTTTTTTTCAGGTAGAAACGCAATGATTTCGCATAATTTTGTTAAAAACAAGCAGAAAATTTACCGAATTAGGCTAAAAATTGTGCTATTTTCGACTTTTTCCAGTGATTAAGCACGTTTCCAAGATAAAAATCAAGTTTTTTCGAAAATTTTCTTTAAAATTGACTAAAAAATTATCCAATTTGGACCAAAATTGAATTATTTTAGCTACATTTAGTTTGTTTGAACTAAAGACTCAATTATTTTGCGAAACTTTGTCAAAAATCACAAAAAAAAATCCAAATTAATTATATTTTGTTTCACAAAAGTAAAGAAAAACAAAAAATAAAGTACTATTTTCAAGCAAGAAAATCACAGGATTTCGAACAAAAACCACCAAATTCAAACTGTCTTTTGGGCGTTTTTCGGCCAGAAACCAATAATTTCGCAACATTAAAATAAAATAATTTAACTGAAAAACCACAAAATATTGTCAAAAATTGTGCTCAAATTACTTTTTTATTGCATTTTTTTACATTACATTTTTTTGAAGTTATTCTCAGAGGAAAAATCATCAAATTAAATCAAAAATTGCTTTTTTGAGCAAATTTTTCATTTTAATTGTTATTTTTGCTTTACGTGTTATTTTACTTTCTTCAAACTTTCAAGCACGTTTTCCAAATAAAATTTTACTTTTTTTTGCAAGATTTCTCTAAAATGAAGCAAAAAACATGTTTTCATTGCGTAATTGTAAAAGTAAC